GACACTAGACAGCACTAGATCTAGTCAACGCATATTAATTTACTTTCATAGTATTAGGCACATCTAATTCACAAAACAGGGCAGGTAAGATTATTTTTTGCATCATTCACCCAATCGCCATGAAAACTTGGGAAGCTGTTGAGTACAGCCCCGCAAAGGTTTCTGTCATAGGCCTAACATTTGTACATATTTGAGTGGGGACTCCTAACGGAAATATGTGATTTAGCGCCCCGTGATCCTGCATAAGCGGATGAGGTTACTACTTGAATACAACTGGCGTCAGTGTCATCCTGAGCGCATCACATATGAGCAAGTTGGCCCCCACAGACAGTCGTTTAAAAGTTCCCACAACACTAGGAATAAGTCTCGCTACTACACTCGATGACTAAATCTAATTAGGTGTCGCACCAATGTTTCTTCCAGGGTAGACTGTTTTCGGGGGAGGGGAGGGGGGAGCTCTGCCGGAAGAAACAATGTGTCACACCCATCACCCGTGCAGTAATGTAACCGGTAGCTTCAAGAGCCCCGTGACTCCCCTGACACCTGGGCCGTCGCCGAGGGATTTACAGCATGCCTTGGCGTGTCTAGTTGGTAGTGTGGACAAACCCGCGCCCTAAGATCCAAGAAATGAACTGCCGACATTGTTAACATTTAATTCAACTTCTGGAAAACAGGGCACACGGTTAGTAACGTTTTGATGAAAGCCTCAGTTTAGTGTGTTGGACTAGATTTAGAAAGGGGCCAGCTCGTGTGTTGGAAAACCTCTGATTTATTCGTGTACCAGATGGAATTTTTTTTAAATTGAGAGCGAACCTTGTTATATATATATATATATATATATATATATATATATATATATATATATATATATATAGGGCCCAAAAAAATTCTTCGGGGGGGGGGGGGGCTTTTTTTCTAGTTCCGCCACTGATACACATGACATGTTGTTGTGATTAGATTTAATTGAATTTTTTTTTTCAAAACCTGATCAGGCCAGAAATGAGTATCCTATGTTCGTATTGTGTGTTTATATATATATATATATATATATATATATATATATATATATATATATATATATATATATATATATATATATATATATATATATATATATATATATATATATATATATATATATATATATATATACATATATGGGGGGCCCAAAAAATTTTTTTGCGGGGTGGCCCATTTTTTCTAGTTCCGCCACTGCCATCCCCTGTTGTTTTATATAAGAATATTCGAGAAAGTTTAGGGGAGATCACTCCCGGTTTATTTAGATTAATGTTCACGCTCCGGTAGGCTTAGCAAAAAAAAAAAAACCACAACAAAAACTTTAAAAAACCCCACAAAAAAACAAAAACATATTTATGTTGATTAGTTATTTGTTGTTTACCAAATTAGAGCTTTGAAACAGACGAAAAGAAACATCTACTCTGCATAATGGTTAAGCAGATCTTTCATGTGTGGCCTCCATCTGTGGTAAGATGTGGAATGGAGCGTGAATCTAAATTTGCCTATGCGATGTGAGGCGTGCGATTAAAATCAGCTACGCTGCAGTAATTTTTGACGTTCTTGGCTCGTGTCCAGCTCTATGTACAAAAATGATAGTCATTACATATATATATATATATATATATATATATATATATATATATATATATATATATATATATATATATATATATATATATATATATGGTTGAATAGCCCCATAATGTAGCGGTAGAGGGCTGCTAACCCGAAAGTCTCGAGTCCGAATCCGGGTTCAATCAGTAAAACTTCCACGTTCGGGAAAAGATGATGATTCTCACCTTCGCATCAGAGAGTTCACATATGTTCCCTACCTCATCTTTCTGTGCTAGAGACCTCTCACTATCGACTGTATGGGCCAGCTTGGCTAAACATTTGTTGAGGGTGGTTTCCCTTGCATAAAATGTGTTTACCTGTTCTTATCATTTACTTTTTGAACTAAATAAAATCAGGAACATTAGTGAACACGAGCTGACCCGCGCGGTAAGCATACGCCGCTATTTAGTAGTTTTATTTTCTACTTAGTAATTTATAATTTGTGAATTCGACACAACCCACACTCCCCCTCCCCACGCTCCCTTGAAAGCACCGTCCGTGACGACAGTTTACAGACGACAATGATTGAATGAATAGATCAAGCCGAACTTCTCACCTCCCCTTAGTTTCAAATCGTTTAAAAGTTAAATAATCTGCCCCTAATAGCCGTCACTAATTCGACCCGGCTATACGATTGTAAACATTCGGGGTGAACCACAGCTCACCAAACTGGTGGGGGTGGGGGTGGTAGCGAAATGGTCTGTTGCGAATGCCAGGAGAGCGAGAGAGGGGGCGGGATGAGGGTTAGATAGTCGGCTTGCATAGTCTTGGCCATGAAGAGAATTATATATATATATATATATATATATATATATATATATATATATATATATATATATATATATATATATATATATATATATCGATATATTTTATATATATATCGATATTAGTGATATTAGTAAATACAGTGAAGCAGCGTTTCCGACCTGAAAGGTTCATGGAGCAGATGAAGAAGAGTTCATCTGTTTGACCGCAGCATATGAAAAGATTGTGTTGTCGTCAGCATTAGGCACTATGCCAAAACGCCTTACATTCCCTGACTTAAGACAGGCGTGGTCAGATGGGTGAGCTCACAAGGTTTATAAATAATCGTCCGTGTTTTAATGTCCCTAATTTACTTCCTTCATCTTGGTACACATTTTGAAGAAACAACTACATGTTTAAATGAAGATGTTTGTTTTCTTTAATTCCTGCATGTTTTTTCTACTATTTAAGAGTTGACGTATACAGATTACATAGAAAACAATCTCACATTTTAAATATCATCGGTTTATTAAAAATATAACATGTGCTAAGTCAATAACATGTTGAACACAACCTGAATGATTGAGAACAATGTAGAAATACTAAATGACATCTTGGACAAATGCAAAAACATACAGATGATTCAAATGTTTTTACATTTGTCTCGTTTCTAATTAAACGTGGCAGTAATTGTATGTAATTGTCTGTGAATGAGATGTATTAACTTAGGTATCACAACTAATCAAAATTGTTTCGTTTCTAATTAATTAATGATGGCCGTAATTGTATGTAATTGTCTTTGAATGAGATGTATTAACTTAGGTATAACAACTAATCAAAATTGTTTCGTTTCTAATTAATTAATGATGGCCGTAATTGTATGTAATTGTCTTTGAATGAGATGTATTAACTTAGGTATAACAACTAATCAAAATTGTTTCGTTTCTAATTAATTAATGATGGCCGTAATTGTATGTAATTGTCTTTGAATGAGATGTATTAACTAAGGTATCACAACTAATCAAAATTATTTCGTTTCTAATTAATTGATGTTGGCCGTAATTGTAAGTAATTGTCTTTGAATGAGATGTATTAACTTAGGTATCACAACTAATCAAAATTGTTTCGTTTCTAATTAATTAATGATGGCCGTAATTGTATGTAATTGTCTTTGAATGAGATGTATTAACTTAGGTATCACAACTAATCAAAATTGTTTCGTTTCTAATTAATTAATGATGGCCGTAATTGTATGTAATTGTCTTTGAATGAGATGTATTAACTTAGGTATCACAACTAATCAAAATTGTTTCGTTTCTAATTAATTAATGATGGCCGTAATTGTATGTAATTGTCTTTGAATGAGATGTATTAACTTAGGTATAACAACTAATCAAAATTGTTTCGTTTCTAATTAATTAATGATGGCCGTAATTGTATGTAATTGTCTTTGAATGAGATGTATTAACTTAGGTATCACAACTAATCAAAATTGTTTCGTTTCTAATTAATTAATGATGGCCGTAATTGTATGTAATTGTCTTTGAATGAGATGTATTAACTTAGGTATCACAACTAATCAAAATTGTTTCGTTTCTAATTAATTAATGATGGCCGTAATTGTATGTAATTGTCTTTGAATGAGATGTATTAACTTAGGTATCACAACTAATCAAAATTGTTTCGTTTCTAATTAATTAATGATGGCAGTAATTGTATGTAATTGCCTGTGAATGAGATGTATTAACCTAGGTATAACAACTAATCAAAATTGTTTCGTTTCTAATTAATTAATGATGGCCGTAATTGTATGTAATTGTCTTTGAATGAGATGTATTAACTTAGGTATCACAACTAATCAAAATTGTTTCGTTTCTAATTAATTAATGATGGCAGTAATTGTATGTAATTGTCTTTGAATGAGATGTATTAACTTAGGTATCACAACTAATCAAAATTGTTTCGTTTCTAATTAATTAATGATGGCCATAATTGTATGTAATTGTCTTTGAATGAGATGTATTAACTTAGGTATCACAACTAATCAAAATTGTTTCGTTTCTAATTAATTAATGATGGCCGTAATTGTATGTAATTGTCTTTGAATGAGATGTATTAACTAAGGTATCACAACTAATCAAAATTATTTCGTTTCTAATTAATTAATGATGGCCGTAATTGTATGTAATTGTCTTTGAATGAGATGTATTAACTTAGGTATCACAACTAATCAAAATTGTTTCGTTTCTAATTAATTAATGATGGCAGTAATTGTATGTAATTGTCTTTGAATGAGATGTATTAACTTTGGTATAACAACTTATCAAAATTGTTTCGTTTCTAATTAATTAATGATGGCCATAATTGTATGTAATTGTCTTTGAATGAGATGTATTAACTTAGGTATCACAACTAATCAAAATTGTTTCGTTTCTAATTAATTAATGATGGCCGTAATTGTATGTAATTGTCTTTGAATGAGATGTATTAACTTAGGTATCACAACTAATCAAAATTGTTTCGTTTCTAATTAATTAATGATGGCAGTAATTGTATGTAATTGCCTGTGAATGAGATGTATTAACCTAGGTATAACAACTAATCAAAACTGTTTCGTTTCTAATTAATTAATGATGGCCGTAATTGTATGTAATTGTCTTTGAATGAGATGTATTAACTTAGGTATCACAACTAATCAAAATTGTTTCGTTTCTAATTAATTAATGATGGCAGTAATTGTATGTAATTGTCTTTGAATGAGATGTATTAACTTAGGTATCACAACTAATCAAAATTGTTTCGTTTCTAATTAATTAATGATGGCCGTAATTGTATGTAATTGTCTTTGAATGAGATGTATTAACTTAGGTATCACAACTAATCAAAATTGTTTCGTTTCTAATTAATTAATGATGGCCGTAATTGTATGTAATTGTCTTTGAATGAGATGTATTAACTTAGGTATCACAACTAATCAAAATTGTTTCGTTTCTAATTAATTAATGATGGCCGTAATTGTATGTAATTGTCTTTGAATGAGATGTATTAACTTAGGTCTCATAACTTCAAGGTGTGTTCTGTCTCAAAATTTCTGGGCGAGGGGTCAAGAGTCACTTTGCCTTGAGCAGACGTCAATTTGCCGGGGTTAAAGGTCGTGAGCTCTTTTACCCCGGAAACCGTTTCTTCTTGCACGCGTATCCCCCACAGTCGTCTGGTCAGTGGAAACAGTAGCCTCGGTTCCACAACGTCTTGGTCGTTTGCTAGGTGACCTCAAATTTGGGAAAGAAGATCACAAACATATGTAAAGGATGCTCGTATGCTGAACAGGAAAATAAAACAATTATAATTAAAAATCGTTTTAATCTTTATAATAGCAAGCTTATAATGAACTAAAAAAAGAAACAAAAATGTTTTAGAAATAAAAGAAGAACAAAATCTTGGTCGGACAAGAAATATTTAAAATACTTATTGCAGAGGCGTAGCGACCCTTCCCGGCGCCCGGGGACAAACTTTCGATTTGCACCCCCCTCCCCTCTCAAACTTTCGATTTGCACCCCCCTCAAGCTGTCAATTTATTTTTCCAACCCATTTTGGCGCCCCCTAAGGTCGCCCCCTGGACATATGTCGTCGTCCCCCCCCCCCTCGCTACGCTTCTGACTTATTGTGACTGATGCTTGTAATTTTGTTCCATAAAAACTTGTAAATAAAAAAGTGTCACTAGGTCGGGTGACTAAATCTGTCACGAATTTTGTGTCGTTCCCCCCCCCCCCCCCCCCCTATTCACGATGGTGTCATCCTGTGCCGAATTATGCAGGTAAGCTTTAATAAAGTTAAAATAAACCAACTGAGAAAAGTCAATTTTTTCATGGAAATCGGCGATTTTTCATTTTGGCACGAACCCGTTAATGGTGTCACGCCCTCCCCCTCTCTCCGCTTTGTGAAGTTAATGCTAAATTTGAGGCGGTTCTTGTGGAACATACAATATTGTTAATATTGTCTCTCACATTAATTCCATGAAGTTTTATCCATGGGATAATAAAACTGAACATCTAACAAAACATACTTGAAAAACCAAATAATTATGTTAATGTATATTTAAGTATTATTTGCACATCTACAATTAGTCTAGTATTTGAAAAGTATTAGCTACTCATAGAAAATTATCTAATGAAACGGATTGTAAATAAACACATTTAAATAGAAAAAAAAGTAACAAAAATGTAAAACATATTCAAATGTAAAAACAAACTAAACTAATATAGATATAGACGGAGAGACTAACTTTACCAATTATAATACTGATGGACTGAAACTTTAATGATTTTAAAAATGTGTATTTTATCAAGCGAGGACTTACGGTAGATAATGCTGACGGTTAATCCACAAGCGACGGTTATTAAAGACCCAATCATGGGTGTCCACAGGTATGATAGATCGTAGAAGGAGAAATCTGTCTTTATTTGGCTGGGGATACAAAGAGGGGTTTTGCTAGAGTGAATTTTTGTTTGTAAATTGGTAGCTCAAGAGTATTAACAAAACCTTAAAAAAAGTTTGGGCCTATTGCATGTTTGTGATTGAATATCAGCCCAACCTCTAGGCAACCTCCCACTCAAACCTAAGGTTCAGGTTCCTTGTAATGTATAGCCTCCAACTTCTTTTATTTAAATAAATGGGAGAAGTTTCAAGTAAGGTAACTCTTGAAAGAGAAATATTATTATTATTTTACTGAGTTATCTACCTTGGTATGTGTTTAGTGGTCATGAAGGAGGGCGACAGTGTGGTGATGTTTGTCCACGGAACTGACGTCATGTTCCCATAACCGGATACGTCACTATAGAGAATATCGGAGCCGTTGACAGGTGTACATAGAGCCGTGGAGCCGCGGCCCAGCACGGGTGCTCTGGCACCGTACAGAAAAGAGCCGATGGTGATCCACATACTTATCACCAGCCCAGTGAATACACCTACCACGGCGCCCTGGAAGGAATTTAAAAAAAAATATTTGTAAATTTTAACAGTCGAAACATTAAAATATCTCATTTTTATTTCTTTAAAAGTCATAACCTTGATGGATGAAGACTAAGACAAGACTGATTAAAAATATTTAATTAAAATAAGGTAAAACTAATATAGATATACTAAAAATAGTTGAATAAAAACTGGCAAACACTTAAAAATATTCGTGTATATTTATTTTAAGTATTTGATTCAACTAAAGTTACACTGACAAACATTTTAGAATGTAGATATGGATAGATTAAAAATAGTGGAATAAAAACTGGCAAACACTTTAGAATATTCATGAATATTTAGTTTAAGTATTTGATTCAATTAAAGTTACACTGGCAAACATAATAGAATAAAAGCTCACGAAATAAAATGTTATACAGTCATATTGTCCTGTGTTTACAATTGGATAATTTGTCAATTACGTTATGTTAATTTTAAATTAATGTGGCCTTTGAACTATTTTTTTTCATATAAAAATAAATGTCGTGTGCGTGTGTGTGTGTGTGTGTGTGTTTCTGACATGCTCAGTCCGTACTCACCACTTTGTTGGCCTGTGGGAAGGTGGCCCCGAGTGCAAACAAGCCCATAACTGGGCCACTCGTGGCCCCCAAAGCTGAATATGTGATCTGGTGTAAAGATGTGAAAATTTGAATATGTGATCTGGTTGAAAAATGTGAAAATGGGGGGTATTTTAATCAAAGCGTTGGGGTTAAGCATGATAAGTTAAATAATAAATTTCGCTAGTTTGAAGCACAAGTATTACATCTACTTAAGGCTGTGCAACATTTAAGTGGGTCGCCCATAAATGACGTCAAGTTTTTTGGTGAAATTTTACCTCACAGTACGACCCACTTATCTACTCTTCAGTCAACCCACCCACCCGCTCCCATTCCACGCCATGCCAGCTCCAAACTGCGTCTCCCCCGTCCCCTGTTCCCCCTCCCCCCCCCCCCCAAAGCTCAAATTCCGATGGGATTTTTTTTTTTAACAGTGGTTTGTTTTTTCTAAACGAATAACCGAGACTGGTCAATGTATTTTTTTTAAAGTCTTGGCAAATATGCGAAACAATTGATAAATTTCAGTAACTATATGTGGCGTCGCATATTCTAACCCCACCCCCCCCCTACCCGGGTGTTATAAACGAGCCATATATGGTCAAAATTTTTTTTACCTGTGTAACTGGGCCTGTGAATATCCGGGCCAGGTAAGCCAGACCTATTATAACCGCCCCGTAGAAAACCACTGGAGAAGACATATGACATATGACATAATGTTAAGTGACATTTTAGTATGACATGTTTATACTTTATAGGGAACATTTTGCAAAGAAAAACTTGAAGAACAAGAACTGAGAACAAGAACTCGGAACAAATAATAAAAACAAGAACCTGACCAAAACATGGAACAAGTAGTAAAAGCAAGAAGTTGGAACTAGAACTTGGGAAAAGAACTTGATATGAGAATGTGGAACAGGAGATGGGTCCAACAACTGAAGTAAACAGCTCAACTATTTCTAATGTGATAAACAACCAACTCACCAATACATTTCGTCACTGCTGTTGTCGTAGATTCCTTCCTGTGGGTGAGCACTGAGCCCAGCAGGTCTTCCACAGTGTTGGCAGCCAGAGAGTTGATGCCAGAGGAGAGGGTGCTGGGGATAGAGAGTTCACATGGGACACCGTCTCACTCTAACTCTAACTTTAACTCTAACCTTAACCCAGAGGAGAGGGTAATTGAGACAGATGGTTTATATGGGTTTAGGAACTGCCTCACTCTAACCCTAACCCTCTCTGTAAACCTAACAATAACTCTAAACCTAACCCTATCCCTAACTGGGCGGGGGTTAATTGACGGGGGGGGGGGGGGGGTAATTGACAGGAGGGTAGTCACTGGGGGGGGGGGGGTAATGTTGGGAGGAAATGTCCAGGTTTGAAGAAAATCTTATCTTAAGGTTTGAAGAAAATCTTACCTTAAGGTTTAAAGGAAATCTTACTTTAAGGTTTAAAAGAAATCTTACCTTGAGGTTTGAAGAAAATCTTACCTTAAGGTTTGAAGAAAATCTTACCTTAAGGTTTGAAGGAAATCTTACCTTAAGGTTTAAAGAAAATCTTACCTTGAGGTTTAAAGGAAATATAACCTTAAGGTTTAAAGGAAATCTTACCTTAAGGCACCAGAAAATATTGTGGCTATGTACAGTCCAGGTAAGCCAGGCAAGAAGCTTAAGCTGTGCATAACAAAGTAGGGCATCATCTAAGAGACACAAAGTAGGTCATGTATGGCATTAGATGCACAAAGTAGGTCATATATATCCTTAGATAGAAGCACAAAGTAGGTCATGCATGTTATTACAGGCACAAAGTAGGTCATGCATGTTATTAGAGGCACAAAGTAGGTCATATATGTCATTAGATAGAGGCACAAAGTAGGTCATGTATGTCATTAGAGGCACAAAGTAGGTCATGTATGCCATTTGATAGAGGCACAAAGTAGGCCATAAGATAAAGGCACTAAGTAGGCCATACGATTAAGAAAGAAAGAAGGTCGTCAGCTTAAAACACTTTTAGTTCCAGCCTACAGACCCATAAAATCTTAATGTCTGGCTATCAAGCTGTCCTACCCCAAGCTCTCCCCACCCCGCTGTTCTGGCACCAGCTCCCCTTACACGTGCATCCAAGCAGACGATCTTCTCACCTGATTGGAGTTCTTCACGTAGCCTGCGGTCATCGGGTCACACTGAAGGTCAAAAAAGTAGGCCACCATGACCAGGCCTGTCAGGACTAGAACCACTTTGTACAGCAGTGCCAGAGGGATGCAGAGCAGGAATACTCTGGACAGAAATAGTTTGGTTAGAGAGATACATAGCAGGGATACTCTGGACAGAAATAGTTGGGTTAGAGAGATACATAGCAGGGATACTCTGGACAGAAATAGTTGGGTTAGAGAGATACAGAGCAGGAATACTCTGGAAAGAAATAGTTGGGTTAGAGAGATTTATAGCAGGAATGCTCTAGGCAGAAAAAGTTGGGTTAGAGAGAGAGAGAGAGATACAGAGCAGGGATACACTGGACAGAAATAGTTTGGTTAGAGAGATACATAGCAGAAATACTCTGGACAGAAATAGTTTGGTTAGAGAAATACATAGCAGAAATACTCTGGACAGAAATAGTTGGGTTAGAGAGATACATAGCAGAAATACTCTGGACAGAAATAGTTGGGTTAGAGAGATTTATAGCAGGAATGCTCTAGGCAGAAAAAGTTGGGTTAGAGAGAGAGAGAGATACATAGCAGAAATACTCTGGACAGAAATAGTTGGGTTAGAGAGATACATAGCAGAAATACTCTGGACAGAAATAGTTGGGTTAGAGAGATACATAGCAGAAATACTCTGGACAGAAATAGTTTGGTTAGAGAGATACATAAAAGAAATACTCTGGACAGAAATAGTTGGGTTAGAGAGATACATAGCAGAAATACTCTGGACAGAAATAGTTGGGTTAGAGAGATACATAGCAGAAATACTCTGGACAGAAATAGTTGGGTTAGAGAGATACATAGCAGAAATACTCTGGACAGAAATAGTTGGGTTAGAGAAATACATAGCAGAAATACTCTGGACATAAATAGTTGGGTTAGAGAGATACATAGCAGAAATACTCTGGACAGAAATAGTTGGGTTAGAGAGATTTATAGCAGGAATGCTCTAGGCAGAAAAAGTTGGGTTAGAGAGATACATAGCAGAAATACTCTGGACAGAAATAGTTGGGTTAGAGAGATACATAGCAGAAATACTCTGGACAGAAATAGTTTGGTTAGAGAAATACATAGCAGAAATACTCTGGACAGAAATAGTTGGGTTAGAGAGATACATAGCAGAAATACTCTGGACAGAAATAGTTGGGTTAGAGAGATATAGAGCAGGAAAACTCTGAACAGAAATAGTTGGGCAAGAGAGTGTGATGTGTAACAGCTAATCACTCAAGAAAAAACAACAAAAGAACAACATACATCTACAAACATGCACATCCAAACACACACACACTAACACAACTCTGCACGCAAACGCCCACTCACCCTTCAAACGATTGAGACAGATAAAACCCCAACAGTTTAAACGTTTGGTGATAGGTTAATTGTGTGGTAAGTATGACGGACGTCCATCAGATGTCAATACAGCTTGTTTACTTACAAGTTGGCTTGCTGGACTGACTTGGTGGCGGAGATTCTCTGGACCAGAGACTGGCCGAAGTTGGAGGCTGACCAGTAGAAGAAGGAACCAACGGTCAGTCCCCAGAGCGAGTGCCGGACTCGTGGGTCCACTCGGACACTGGGGGTCAAAGGAGTCAATGTGGTTATACGTACACATCACAAATCTATAGCCTAAAACTCAATGTTTCTTTTAGGTTTTTTTCTCCCGGAGGTGGGGGGGGGGGGGGTGGATATTAGAAACTTAGAAGGTGAGAGGACTAAATTTTCAGGGGAAGGGGGGGGGGGGGTGACACTAGTAAAACTATACATTTTCTATATAAATTCTTTCTCTTTCGGTGACGAAGAAATGCCTGAAATTCATACTGAAATAATCTCTCTTTGTGACAAGGATGACACAATATATTTGAAACACAATAAAACTACACTTTACAAAAAACCCTGCGCGTAAACATCATTAAAATAACCACAAAACTTTGTAAATAAACGAAAACGAGGCTTAGTTGTTTTTTTTTTCTTCAGACATCTTTACCATGGCAACAGTACAAAAATATAGGTCAAGTGACACCCTAATTATCAGAAGAGCACTCTCTTCTGGGCTTCGTGCTCAACGTAAACTTTGCTAGTGCTGCGGCTGTAAGGGGAAAGAATTCAAAAAATGTTCTCGATTACCTACTCATCAAATATTACTCTCCCTTTGTCCGCAGTGATGTTAAATACTTTCTCAATACCGCCGACATCAAAGCAACCCTGGAAAAAAGTTAGTGTTATCTATAAATAGCCTTTGAGAAAGTGGATTCATGTGCAGTAATACGTTTCTTAATAGACGTCTATGTTCGTTTTTTTTTAAATTATTTAATAAAGCGTTCGTCTTCGCATGCATTTTGAAGAAAAAGTCGCCTAAACGTTTTTCAAGTTAGGATGTCTTGAGTTCTCTCTCATCCAGTGGCGTCGCTAGGTTGGGTGTCACCAGGTGCGGCACCTCATGGTGTCATCCCCCCCCCCACCACCACCAAAGGAAAAAGATATATATATATATATATATATATATATATATATATATATATATATATATATATATATATATATATATATATATATATATATATATATATATATATATATATATATAGTTGCAATTGGTGACACCTCTCTCCTACTGACCACCACTATCACTTCCCATGCCGAGCTCACTGAAACAGCTGATCATCGGGTCAAAAAGGGTAGCTTGACCTACCTACCTTGACGAGAACGACGATGATCCCGCCGAAGATGATGAAAGTTTGAAAGACATCCGTCCATATCACGCTTTTGATTCCGCCCTACCACAAACGTTTGTGTGTGTGTGGGGGGGGGGGTGATAAAAAATAAAAGTAAGTTTTCTGAAGTCACTATACCAAGCGATAGAATTCGTTATCTTGGAAGTAACATTATATTTTTTTTTCTACTCCTAAGAAGCAACAAAAGGAAATTCTATAGTGAATAATAATCAAAACTCAACTGAGATTAATACTTTTTATTTAAATTACCTTAATTATTTGTAATCTCAATTTTGTTTTGTTTTAATCTTTAAAATGTAAGCTGGCGTAGCAATTAAAGAATAATAATTTGAGTATTGGTGGGATGGACTGGGTAACACTAGGATCTGCCTACCTTTAACCTCCCCCCCCCCCACTGCGTCTATAGCTGAACAGAATAACAGCCATACTTACTATAGCTGTATACAACGTGCCTACAGATCCAATCACTACCAGAGAGAGCCACAGAGGTAAGCCGACAGCTGATGGAAGATCACACGCCGTCATAAACAAAACAAACATGGAAAAACCTTTACAACAACAGGTAATTGATGGTCTTTAACAACACAATCAAAGTTATCTTTCTTTAATAAATATAGTAGTTCGTCAATCGATGTGGTTAGGTAATAAAATCGTACAGTTGTATTGAAAGAAATATGATACTTCAATTATTAAAGGTAAGTAAAATTGTATTTATATTTTCACATTTTAGTCCAATTAACAACGTGTAATTATAAAGGTTTATATACTTGTTAAACGTTTAAATTTTTAGAGTTTTAGTGCAGTGGTTATAGCTATTGTAAGTTGTTAAGTTTGAAGCGGGTGAGTTCTATATTTAATTGATTTACCTGTTTGTAGTGCCAGACCAGGTGATAACAGGGCTATCGACATATACGTCACCTGTAGATGGGCATACACAATTAGCACACATTTAACATGGTATATAGAGACACCAAGTTTATTTAAACTTATTCGGTTTTTAAATTGGAGTTGTTTTTTTTTTAATACAAACATCGGACTCTGCATAAACGTTAACTAGCCATACAGTGGATTACGTGAAGTGGATTATGAGATGAGTGGATCATTGATGGATACTTACTGTAGCAGCGATGCCTGTCACTGTGCCAAGTAACCGGATAAACCTTGAATTATATCGTCTTTCTAAATACTACAAACAATACATATGTATATATATATATACATATATATGTATGTATATATGTTTGTATATATATATATATATATATATATATATATATATATATATATATATATATATATATATATATATATATATATATATATATATATATATATATATATATATATATATATATATATATATATATATATATATATATATATATATATATATATATATATATATATATATATATATATATATATATATATATATATATATATATATATATATATATATATATATATATATTTAAAATTTCTTAAAGTATGTGGCCCTTTATAAAAAAAGTTCAAAATGTCGTATACGTTAAATTTAATCTATTTATTTAATAAACCCAAAATTAGAGTCTCATTACTAATTCTTTTTCGTCAGTATAGCTTCTTACGGTTGTGTAGGCCTAAAATTAATACAAATGATTGAGTTAATTCCCTTAGAACGATTTTTTTGCCCTACTTTAGCGTACCATACCAGTTATCACATTCGTTTTACACAACCTGTTGGGAGCAAAAATCGTAACACAACATTTTGTCAACAACAATTTGTTAACACAACACATTGTTAACAAGATTACGTTTATTCAACAGCACGTAAGAGAATAGAAAAGAGAATTCACTTAATCAAAGTATTAGATTATTCCGCCAGGAGCAACCTCTTTACCTAACCTAACCTAACCTAACCTAACCTAACCTAACCTAACCTAACCTAACCTAACCTAACCTAACCTAACCTAACCTAACCTAACCTAACCTAACCTAACCTAACCTAACCTAACCTAACCTAACCTAACCTAACCTTACCTAACCTAACCTAACCTAACCTAACCTAACCTAACCTAACCTAACCTAACCTAACCTAACCTAACCTAACCTTTCATTGTGCATTTCTTCCCCATCAAAGTCTAATGATTATCTTCAGCTTGATGAACATTCATGCAACACATTTTTCTTTAAATCAACGGCGGAGGGGGGGGGGGCGCATGTGGGAGGGGGTTGGGCTTATCTATGGCATAAAGATGGCATATATATATATATATATATATATATATATATATATATATATATATATATATATATATATATATATATATATATATATATATATATATAATATCACAACCTGAGGTAGTTCCAGTGGCGTAGCGAGGGGGGGGGGGTATGGGGTTCGGACCGCACCGGGTGACACTATTTAGGGGGGTGACACCAAGGCAAAAAATAGCAAAATATATAGAGAAAAATGATAATTCCACTTAATTAAGTGATTAATTCGTGTGTTAAATAGTCTTTTAAGAGCAAATTTGACAAATCCTGACAAGGGTGGAGGGGGGGGGGGTGTGCAAATCAAAAGTTTGAGGGTGGTGCAAATGGAAAATTTGAAGGGGGAGGGGTGCAAATTGAAAATTTAAAGGTTGGTCCAGAGAGCGCGCCAAATTGAAAGGAAGGGTGGCTACGCCTCTGGGAAGGTGACATCATTAAGTGCCGCACCGGGTGACACCCGACCTCGCTACGCCACTGGGTAGTTCACGATGGAGATGTAAACATTTATATTTGAAAATTACAAAAAATAGATCGAGATTGCTGTCTTAAATCAACATCCTAACGAGCGTGGTACAAATTGAAATCTACGTCAACTGTTGCTTCCTAGTCTCAGTCTTGTGGGTAAAATGTGGGTGGTGAGGTTAAAATTGTGTTAGAATCGTTCAATGTCGTGATGGTGAGGGGGTGGCGTGGATGGAAGGGGTGTGTAACCAGTGTTTCTTCCAGACTTTTTTCTTCTTTTCTTCGGGGGGGGGGGGGGCACTTGAAATTTTCGGGGGGGGGGGTAGACTTTCTTTGGGGGGGGGGGGGGTAGACTTTCTTTGAGGGAGGGCGAACACTGTTAAAAGTATATTTTTTCTATATAAATTTCATTTCATACGGGGGGGGGGGGGGCGGTAGACTTTCTTTGGGGGGGGGGGGGCGAACACCGTTAAAAGTATATGTTTTCTATATAAATTTCATTTCGTTCGGGGGGGGGGCGGTAGACTTTCTTCGGCGGGGACAGAGGCCCCCCCCCCCCCCCCTCCAGAAGAGATGCCTGGAAGAAACTGTGTGTAACAGGCACTTGGGCTAGTCCAACGAGCCAAATTAAATATTCCCCGGCAGGAAAAAGGGACAAGACCGAGACAGATTCCTTGAGTTCGATGAAATCGTAGAATCGTTAGGTTTTTTTTTTCTCGCTTTTTTATTTTATTTTGGTAAGTGATCATTTCAAGCTCCCCTCTCCGACAAAGGAAATGAAAAATGGCTATAAATACAAACGAGATTTGAAATAATCGATTTCAAAGCCCGTTGGTCGGTAGCCCACACGTCCATTTTGTTTTTGAGAATTATGGCACGTGCGGGGGAGGGAGGGGAAGTGGAGAATTTATGTTGACACCTGCAAACGTGGCGCGCGCGGGTCAAGTGTCAGTTCAAGTTGAACTGGTCACGTGATCAGGGGAGATTAGAATAATTAGATGGCCCCGGGGGACGTGGCCGGCATTTTAATAGCGCGTGGAGTGGCCGGCTGAGACAATGGAGTTGATTGGTCAGCTGTCTAGCCCATGTGACTGGTCATCTGACTTTAGAACTAGGTCATTGGTCAGTGGACATTAAAACTAGTTCAAGCGACTGGTCATTTGACATTAGTACTAGATTATAAGACTGGTCATTTGACATTAGCACTAGATTATAAGACTGGTCATTTGGTATTAGTACTAGATTATAAGACTGGTCATTTGGTATTAGTACTAGATTATAAGACTGGTCATTTGACATTAGAACTAGATTATAAGACTGGTCATTTGACATTAGAACTAGATTATAAGACTGGTCATTTGACATTAGAACTAGATTATTAGACTGGTCATTTGACATTAGAACTAGATTATAAGACTGGTCATTTGACATTAGAACTAGATTATTAGACTGGTCATTTGACATTAGAACAAGATTATAAGACTGGTCATTTGACATTAGAACTAGATTATTAGACTGGTCAGTGGCGTAGAGAGGTCGGGTGTCACCCGGTGCGGCACTTAATGGTGTCACCCCCCAGAGGCGTAGCGACCCTTCCCGGGGACAAACTTTCAAATTTTCGATTTGCACCCCCCCCCCCCCCTCAAACTTTTGATTTGCACCTCCCTCAAAGTTTCGATTTGCACCCCCCCCCCTCAAGTTTTTCTCTATATATTTTGCTGTTTTTTTGACTTGGTGTCACCCGGTGCTGTCCGCACCCCCCGCCACCCCTCGCTACGCCTCTGAGACTGGTCATGTATCATAAGAACTAGATTATAAGACTGGTCATGTATCATAAGAACTAGATTATAAGACTGGTCATTTGACATTAGAACTAGCCCATGTACGGTCATCTGCTTAGTCTGTAGTTAGCACAGAGATATAAGTTCTCCCCACCGCTAGCAGTAGCAGTATCTGTAGAATAATCTCAGCTCATGTCTACAAGGCCAGAACTTGGTTCTTCCCTTGTAACATTACCATTAAGCTTACGGTCGTATTATCGCTTTATTAACTGGCAACGATGCTGTAATGTAATGTGGGTTATGTGGTATTTGGTTTGTGTGGTGGGGTTATTATGGAGCTGTGACGGTACTTTATGGTGCAGTCAATGTGGTACTATGTAGTGTAGCTAACGTGGTGCCGTTTTGTATCCGTGTGGTTTGGCTATTATGAAGCTGTGACAGAATGGTGTGGCCAATGTGGTACCTTATGGTACAGCCAATGTGATACTATGTGGTGTGGCTTTTGTGGTACCGTGTCGTACTATGTGGTGATGTGTGGTGTGACTAAAGTTGTATCGTGTGGTGTAGCTAATGTGGTACTGTGTGGCAAATGCGGTTAATGTGGTACCTTGTGGTGTAAATAATATGGTGCCGTGTGGTCTTACTACTGTTGTACCGTGTGGTGTTGCTAATGTGGTACCGTGTGGCTAATGTGGTACCGTGTGGCTAATGTGGTACCGTGTGGCTAATGTGGTACCGTGTGGCTAATGTGGTACCGTGTGATGTGGCTAATATGCTGCCGTGTGGTGTAGCTAATGTGGTGCCGTGTGGTGTAACTAATATGGTGCCGTGTGGTCTTACTACTGTCGTACCGTGTGGTGTGGCTAACGTGGCACCATGTGCGTATTGTGATGCCAGCCTGGTCTCCTGAAGTCTTTGTTTAAAGCCTCTCTGTTTCACAGGTGAGCAGTTACCTGTTCATGGCTTCAGACAGGGGAGATAACAGTGTGGGAGTGAGCAGTGTGGCCATTGTTCATGCGGAGGGGGGGGGGGGGGGTGTGGTGTGGTGTAAACATTAGGGCGTGAGGGTGGGCGATGCATTGAGCACCTGCACGTCCTTTGATGTAGCTGGAGCGTGAGTGAACTGAATTAGTGCTACATTAAAGACTGCGTTGTTTTACACATCTAATTTGGTCTATAGATCTTCACATTTTAAAGCACACTAAAGGATATTTTTTTTCCCTTTTTTTCAGGTCTTATAAAAAACTGAGAACATTATTTAACAATTTGAATATATTTCTCACGGTCATTCAGCTGGGTACGTTTAATCCACAACAAGGTTTATCAATCTTTACTCTTAACTCCGCCTTCCCCCCACCCGTTTATATTTCCTACCCCCATCTATTTTTTGGATACCTCGACAAGTTCTACACCCTAACCCTAACACCCCAGTCCAGATCACTAAAAGTATGGTTACTTCTGAACGACACGACGCCCGATATCAAACTTTTCCTTGAGCTAACAGACTTGGTACCTCCGTGAGAATCATTAACTAAATTAATTGTTCTCAACAAGAGCAAATCTGAAATCATAAAGCTTTGAATTTTTTTAGAAAGCCACTTCGCTAATGATTAATAATAATTACCTTAGCAAAGTTCAAATTAAGCTAAACATGCCATTGATGTAACTTTTTTTTTCAGACAATTCGACAAAAAACTAACCTACGTCTGGGAAAATTTTCCTGGCAACCGCATCAAGAGTTCACCGCTTCACCTATCGCGTGCAGACAATGCTGTTCATTAGACCAGGTGTTAGAGATTATGTAGGCTAAGTACGGCGACCTTTCACCTGGGGCCTAGTTTGTTCTTTTCTAACTAGCTTTTTGTTTTGGCAAGGTATAAAAAAAATGTAGGCGCTCATGTACCGTAACTTGTTTTACGTGTTTACGTTAAGGAAAACAAGATTTACAGTTATAAAATGTGGGTACTTGCGAAGAACAAAGGAATCTGTATGTTAAACTTAGAAGAAACAGAAAAAAGAATGTTAACACTTGGAGTAGCATAGGTAGTAGTCGCTAACGGAAACGCCAAAGAAATAGGTTTATGGGGGAGGGTCGTCGATTAATAACTTCGTGTTACTAGGGGGTTGCAAATTTTAGGGCTGAGAAGGAAGAGGGGGGGGGGGGGGTTAAGGGGTAAAGTGTGACATCACGTTGTTGCATTAGAACTTAGTTTTTTTTTAAATTGTTTTTTTTTTATTTTTTAGATTTTAGCAAACTGCAACTCAAATTAATCAACTTTTTTTTTCAACAAACAAAAATACAATTTTTTTAGTGGCTGTGTAGATTCTCGTTTGATGTCATTGTGTGTGTGGGGGGGGGGGGGGTGGAATCACGTGTCGTGGTGTACTGTGAGTGACAACATTTATGGACGGTTGTGTTGATTTTAGACTGGGACACAGGGTTTCTTTCAGGCATCTCTTCGTCTACCGCCCCGGGTAAGACTGTGTTTGTTTCACCCACAACTGTGTCAAATGTGTACAATAATTTTTGTTTTTGGTTCAAGTTTGTTTTATTTTTCTTTCCTCTTTTCCTTTTATTGTATATATTTATTTTTAATTATGGCCTTAAAAACCATGGGGGGGGGGGGGGGGGGGGCTGTAAGGGTTAGTTAAGACACACTATTTGACCAAACTCATTCATATTGATCAGCGTGGGCCTTGACTTGGTCAAATGAAAAGTGGGGCGCCGCAAGGGTTTAAACACATTTTGATCAACCTCGTTTATAACCAGTTAGAATGGACCATATCAAGGGGCACTGCACGGGTTAAAACAAAATTATTTTAATCAGCCTTATTCACGTTGGTCATGCTGGAGCATAACATGGGGCGGTGCAAGGGTTAAATCAATCCGTTCTCCAAAACCTTATTGACACTGGAAAGGTTGGACAATCACTTGGGGCGCTGCAAGGGTTTAAACAACCAATTTTGACCTACCTCATTGAAACTGGCAAGGCTGGACCATCCCATGGGGCGCTGCAAGGGTTAAAAAAAATGGACACACCTCGTTGACGCTGGTCAGCTTGAGAGGGTAGAAGAGCGGGATGGCCGTGAAGAGACAGGCCACGTAGGAGAGCACCGGGCCAGCCACGGAGTAGAAGGTCATGGTGCCGTAGGTGTAGACCTCGGCCGGCGTCCCCAGCAGGGAGATGGCCGACTGGAAGGTGGCGAACACGGACATGCACACGGGGATGGCGCCCATCCGCCGGCTGCCCAGCAGGTAGTCGATCTGGTGTTACGGGAAGTTGGTGGTGGTGGAAGGGGGTGGGGAGTAAAAAGTTAACTAAATTCTAAAATTTGTTTTTGGATTTAAATTAGGAAGAATCAATGTTTCGTGACACTTTAAATAAATTCTAGATCTGGATGTAAAGACAAAACCAGGCAACTAAAATTTGGAACCGTTAGGAACCAGATATTTGCAAGTACTATTGACTCAAATGAATATAACTAAGGTAATTAATTTATATTTAAACTAACTACAATTTTTTTTCTTTGACTGTTTTCATTGCGTGCATAAAATAAAATATAAAGGTGTATTGCACTTTATATTATTACAAAAATAATTACTGATTATTGGTTTAGATTGTAAAACATTTCTATTGGATTTTTCTTTTTCAGCTGTTTTGTTTAAATATGTAATTTTAATTTGAAAATTTTAAAGTTTATCAAGAGTTATAGACCTTGGTTTGCCTCTTTCTTCCATAGAACGCGAAGAAGACTCCAATGCCCATAGACACAGACAACATGGCCGCCAACAGGATGTAGTCTGTCGTGCCGAAGAAGAGTTGGCCTGTAGTTTCCATTTTATACTGCTGGTCATCCACTCTGTTCAAAGAAATGGTTTTTATTTTCTTTTTTTTTTAAAAATGGATTTGGATGTTTGAAATAGTTTTTAAATAGGTTCAACAACATAGAGGTGGGGGGGGGGGGGGTGATGATAAGGGAATGCGGGTAGTTAAAGAGGGAGTAGAAGGGGATTCCAAAGGAGGTAAAACGAGGATATAAGAATAGGGCTGGTAAATAAGTCATCAACCATTTCTTGGCTCATTCAGGTTTTATTAAGCCGTAGAACTGCTTGGCGACCTACTTACCAGCCCTATTGGTTTAATTTCGGAAAGTTGGGGGTAAAGAAAAAAGTAATTTGGAAAAGCTATAGTAAAGAGGGTTAGAATGGATAAGGGGGGAGTATAAAGTGTGAATGGAGGAGGAGGCTTAAGACAAGGGGGGAGGGGAGGGGGAAGGGGGAGCTGACGCGGGAGTTAAAGAGGAAATATATAATGGTATAGAAAAATAGGGGAGGTAAAATATTTAACGGAGGGGCGGGGGGGGGGGGTAACATATTGAAAGTAAAAAAAAAATGTATGAGGAAAATATGAAATAAAAGGGAGGTAAAATATAGTATAAAAGTATAGAAAGAGGGAGATAAATCATTGACGACCTCCAGTGGTGATCACACGACCGACATGACGCAGTTATAACAAAGCCTCATTAAGTTAGACACAGGTGACCTAATTAATGCAAACTGTAAAGGTAGAGATAGTAGTTGTTGTAGAGATTAGGGGGACTTTGTAAAAGTACTAGAATCACGTGTGTATAATGTAAGGTCATTATTGGAATCAAAGGGTTTATTGTTTTTTAGAACCAGGGACGCTATATGTACAGAACAAAGGCGTTAACAATAAAAATGTGCTCGAAAATAATTAAATGATGAGTAATCGTACAAGCTTTTGGTCAAGATAATCCTTTTTATTATATTTTATAACAACCCGATATAATAGTGTAATACTATTTTTAATCTTAAATATATTGCGTATAAATAAAATTAATGTCTACATTTTTAAAAACTAACTTTGTTTTCGTTTTTTTTTTCTGAAAAAAAAATTGTCCCTTTTCCCCCTTTTTTCCGTTACAGAGTTATCCTTTGTTTTCGAGCCCGTGTTTTCTACTTACCTCCCCTTATCGATCTTCTTGACGTCGTGCTATATATTTCCTCCAGGAGACAAACTATGGCTATGATTAATGGCGGATGGAGACGGCGATCTAACTTTCTGTTCATGTAGAACTGATTAGACCAGCAGACCTGGGACATGAACGTGCCTTCTGCCAGCAGACTCGAGTTTACACGGGCAGACGACAATTTTCTTATTGTTCGAGTGACCAGTCACGGACGACTTTTATAAATTGGGGTCAACGGATTTCAGAGATAGTATTATCTTTAGTTGTCTTAGGGCTTGCGCGCGGGAAAATATGAAATGAAAAGTAAACAGTATACTAGAGTCGGTAGTGATGAAATAGTAGGCTATATAAACGATTCTAAGAGAGTTTATTCCAGACTTATCTTTGGGCGGCTCTGCCCTCCCCCCCCCCCTCGAAGGAGGTCTATCCCCCCCCCCCCCCCGATCGAAATGGAATTTATATAGAAAACATACTTCTACACGTGTACGCCCCCCCCCCCCCCCCCCGGAAAATTTAGCCCCCCCCCCCCCCCTCTTCCCGAAAATATCAAGAGTCTCCCCAGTGAATAAAGTCTGGAAGAAACTCTAGATTCTAAAAAGTTTATTTTAATTTTAAGAATTAATGAAAAATTGAATTTTCTAGTTGGAAAACTTAATTAAAATACAGGATTATTTAAATATATTATTGAAAAACATATTTATTAAGGCTAAAGCAATAATTTAAAAAAGCATAGATTTTTGTGTAAATTATTAATAAAAAAAAATATGCTTTAAGGGTGGGAGGTTGATTTGTGTTTTTTTTTAAACCATAAGTATACCCTATCCAACACTTGTACACACAAAGAATAAACCCAACATAAGACTCTATGCATCATTGATTAATTACTTTACAACTAATAGCTTAAAGAAACAGACACGCCTTTGAGTCCGCATTTACAGACTAACAGCTGAACTAACCAAACCTTTTTACAGACTAAAGACTGCACTAACCAAACATCATTACTAGATAAACTACTAAACTAACCAAACCTTCTTTACGGACTAGCAACTGAACTTCTCAAATCTCATTTACAGACCTGAACTAATCAAACTTTCTATACAGACTAGCAACTGAACTGCCCAATCCTCAACGTGTATCTCGAAAAGTTTTAATTCCATATCATAAATATTTGAAATGTGTCTGATTAGCTTTTAGACTGACAATTCTATTATCAACTATTCTGTCTAGACTCTACTCGGTTCATATCCACACAAAAATGAAGTTATTATCAAAACTACCCCCTTGCCTTCTCTCTAATATATTTAGCATCATTCGTGGACATCAATAAAGATTTTTTATTGTAAATATTCACAAATATCACATATCAATCATTAAGGTTAATTAGATTGAATGTTAATGTTGTTTCCCCGTACGGCATAAAAGGGGGTTAACTCCAGGACTTTCTTTAGGGGCAATAACTCTGTCGTGGTTTCCTGGGAAGGCAACGATTGCCTTCAGTATATTGGGCATCGGCTATTAACATACGCGTCCTGTTTCGTTTTCTGATGCAAGACTTTCCCTGGGCTCGTTCTCTGATTAGCGCGCCGTTTTCTGGTGCGCAATGCTCTCGGGTGCGATTTCTCATGAATATTTGTTTCTTTTTCTAGGGGCGGTTTGTTTCTATTTTAAGAAACATCGTAATTTGGGTTTTTTAACACCCTAGAGGTTGTCGATTGTTTTGTTTTCGTCGATGTGGAATTGTGGTAGATAGTTTGGTAGGTTGGGCAACTTAGTATGTATAGTGGATGTAGATTTAAAATATTGAGTATCAATAAAAATGTAGGTTTAACGTCTTAAGTATGAATAATGTGTTCGGTTGGACAGACAATGCGTGAATCGTACGGTAAGTTGAAGAACTGGTGTAGTGAACTGAGTTGAACAACATCTTCATTGTAGGACGACATTCGTGTTGGTGTGAGTCTTGGTGGGTGGAGTACATTTTATAACTGGGTGTGCAAGTTATGCACATGTGTATGTGTGTATGTGTTTGTAAATGTGTGGGACAAGATGTGTGGGGTAAGGTGTGTGAGGTAAGGTGTGTGGGGTATGGTGTGTAGGGTATGGTATGTGGGGTAAGGTGTGTGGGGCAAGATGTGTGGAGTAAAGTATGTGGGGTAAGGTGTGTGGGGTAAGGTGTGTGGGGTAAGGTGTGTGGGGTATTGTGTGTGGGGTATGGTGAGTTGGGTATGGTATGTGGGGTAAGTTGTGTGGAGTAAAGTGTATGTGGTAAGGTGTCTGGGATATGGTGTGTGGGGTAAGCAGGGGCGGAACTACAGTGCCGCCAGACCCCGCAATGCGGGGGGGCCCACGCCATTTAGGGGCCAACGGCCGACCCTAATAGTTTTTATTATAGTTAAAAAAAAATCTAATTTTCTTGCAATTTTTGACTTGATGTTTGTTCTGTAAAACGATTACCATAGCTGCGGTTTGATTATCTTTATTCTATAGACGCCATCTCCACGCTCTTGTATATTCTTTTTCCCTTTCTTTTTAAACCACTGTGAAAGCCAAGTCCTCTCTCTTCTACAATTAAACTTAACAAAGATAAGCTAACGTTCAAACCATTTCCATAACTTATTTCCCTTTTTTAAATAGTCAAATTGGGGTGCTCATAAGCTCCTTTTAATAGATGTGTACTAAACAAATTAAAAAGCAATTACTTCTCTTACTAAATATTTTTTCATAAAGTACTTACTAAAGAATGACCTTGTATAAAAAGGAAATGCATTTAAAATTAATAATATAAATACAAAAAAAACCCATAAAAATAATCATAACACGAGACACCATTACTTCTACAAAGATTTCATATTTTATATTCTTTTGGCCAGATAGATGTTAAGAGAACCCATAGCAGATAAAATGAAACTGATTTTCTCAAAACACACTAATGCACTTACACACATGACGTTTTGTAGTAATTTGTTTTAATTGAAAAAATAACTTTTTTTTCAAAATTCGAACAGGCCAGCAATGAGTATCCTATGCTCTGTTCGTATTTTCTGTTTGTGTATATATATATATATATATATATATATATATATATATATATATATATATATATATATATATATATATATATATATATATATATATATATATACTAGCGTACCCGCCCCCCGCGCGTTGCCGCGGGGATAGAAGAAAGTTTGACGAAATATATTAGAAGGATTTCACCAACGCGTTATCAATTATATGTTCTTAGACGCGTGACCTTCTTTTCTAAAAATGAGTTATTTAAATGTAAACAATGCCTGCGCTTGGATCTTAAATATCAGGACACGGGTTTACCTACACTACCGCATGAAAACCTTGAGTGTACATTAATCACTCACCGAAATAATATGGTAGAACACACTTCGGTGACCGCCCCTGTTTCAGAGACGTAGAGGGGCGCTCTCAGGGCCCCCACCCCCGATTACACTACCGCATAGGCGCGGCGTACGACCCCTGGCTCCTTAAAACTAAAAGGCGCCATCGGCCAAATAGCATCCTGTTAATAATGATGCAGATTTCGCCATTCGCTAAAGTGACACAAATGAACAGGATTTTTTTCTTTAACACGTAAAAAAAAATAGTTGACGTGTTTTAAATATCAGTGTGACTGATGCAATATGCTTGCGTTACTAATGGTCTATTATTAGATGCTCAATCTCAATTTCTGACTGGACTGTCCAATAATAGATGCTTATTGCATCATTCGCAAAGTGATGAAAATCTACAGTAGCGTAGGCTCCTCATATTCAAAAAGTTATTTTTTTTATCTTTCGCAAAGGTGACGAAACTGTACAGAAGGATTTCCTCGCGTTACAAAGTTATTTTTAGA